GGACAGGTCCACAGGCAGTCAAAATGGACCTCGCACTTCATCCACCCTCAACCACCCCGTCATCTCTATATAAAGATGTCTGGGTACCGGGCCAGGCGTGGTGTGGCCCTAGCCCTTAATCCCAGCAACTCAAGAGGTAGAAGTAAGTAGATTTCTGTGAGTTTAAAGTCAGCCTATTTGTACCTAATGAGTTCCAGGCCAGCCAGAGCTACAAAGTGAGACCCTCTCTCAAACAAAACAAAACAAAACAAAAGTCTACAAGTGGCTGTAAGATTCCTGCCTGGAAGGTTAGCTCCATCTTTGATTCTTTGAGAGTCCTAGGAATTTCCCAACTCTCTGGGGGCAGAGGCCATTCTGTACCCCTAGAAATGATCTTGGCAGTTGCCTGCTGGTTCAGGATAAATCTGGGCTCAGTTTTGTTTTGTTTTACTTTGAGATGGTCTCACGTAGTCCAGACAAGCCTCTCAAATTTGTCGTGGATAACCTGGGATGACCCAGACCTCCCAATCCTCCTGCCTCTGCTTCTTGAGTGCTGGAAAACAGGCATGTAGCATGATGCCCCACTCAGTCTGGGTCTTCCAGCCTCTATCCCAGAAGCCCCTACTCCAAATGGGGCTGACATTATACGTGATCTCAGAAAGAACACAGGCTTTGGCAAGACTCCTCTGCGAGCATAGCTAAGGAGACAAGTCTGGGGGAAACAGGGGAAGTCAAGAGTGGCCAGAAAATTTTGGCTGCTCTGGAGAACACAGGAGCTCGGGCTATATTTAAACTCTGAGTCACATGACTAGACTCTACTTGTGCTGGAGTAAAACATGTTTTCTTTTAAATGATTAAACCGAGTTGAACTTCGTTCAAGGAAAGTTTCTTTCCCTCTGAATTTTTTTCTTCAGGCTTTAAGCGTTTCAAGATGAGAATTTGCTTTCATAAAGAGGAAACTTGTCAGTCATTCCAACCTAGACACACCTGTGCATCGGAACACCCAAATGCCATCGAGTCATGCATTTGGCCGCATCCCCTACATCTGGATGATCAAGAAACCCCATTCAGAAGGGGAAGGAAGAGGAGGAGGTGTAAACACTGGCTCCTCTCTGGTTCTCTTGGTAACATGAACCAACACCAACGACAGGTCTGGTCTAGTGTTTATCCCACTTCCGTCTTTCATCCCACAGTTGGGAGAGTTTAACCCAAAATTCCACTTTCACAATGGGTCTGCCTTCCAGTATGGATCAGGGTTATTGGCAAGCCAAAACCAGAGAAAGCTAAACTCAGGATATTTAAGTCACCCTGCCCTGGAAAGTGCTGGAAGGGAAGCAAGCAAAACATCAGCCTAGGGTAGGGTCTGGACTCTCGGGTCGGAGCCTTTCCACAGCTAGACAACAGTAGTTTACTAAAAAAAAATAAAAAATAAAAAAGCTTTGACCGGGCAGTGGTGGCGCATGCCTTTAATGCCAGCACTCAAGAGGCAGAGGCAGGTGGATCTCTGTGAGTTTGAGGCCAGCCTGGTATACAGAGTGAGTTCCAGGGCAGTTTCCAAAGCTATAGAGAAAGCCTGTCTCAAAAAAACAAAAAAGCAAAAAACAAAACAAAAACCTTTATTTAAAATAGCCAGTGAGAAAAGGCTAGAATCATCATGATCGACTCCTGTCTCCCACTTTGTGTGTGTGTGTGAGAGAGAGAGAGAGAGAGCGAGCGAGAGAGAGAGAAGAGAGAGAGAGAAAGACTAGAATCATGATCAACTCCTGTCTCCCACTTTGTGTGTGTGTGTGTGTGTGTGTGTGTGTGTGTGTGTGTGTGTGTGAGAGAGAGAGAGAGAGAGAGAGAGAAGATTAGAATCATGATCAACTCCTGTCTCCCACTTTGTGTGTGTGTGTGAGAGAGAGAGAGAGAGAGAAGACTAGAATCATGATCAACTCCTGTCTCCCACTTTGTGTGTGTGTGTGTGTGTGTGTGTGTGTGTGAGAGAGAGAGAGAGAGAGAGAGAGAGAAGAGAGAGAGAGAGAAGACTAGAATCATGATCAACTCCCGTCTCCCACTTTGTGTGTGTGTGTGTGTGTGTGTGTGTGTGTGAGAGAGAGAGAGAGAGAGAGAGAGAGAGAGAAGATTAGAATCATGATCAACTCCTGTCTCCCACTTTGTGTGTGTGTGTGTGTGTGTGAGAGAGAGAGAGAGAGAGAGAAGAGAGAGAGAGAGAAGACTAGAATCATGATCAACTCCCGTCTCCCACTTTGTGTGTGTGTGTGTGTGTGTGTGAGAGAGAGAGAGAGAGAGAGAGAGAGAGAAAAGATTAGAATCATGATCAACTCCCGTCTCCCACTTTGTGTGTGTGTGTGTGAGAGAGAGAGAGAGAGAGAGAGAGAGAGAGAGAAAAGACTAGAATCATGATCAACTCCTGTCTCCCACTTTGTGTGTGTGTGTGTGAGAGAGAGAGAGAGCGAGAGAGAGAGAAGAGAGAGAGAGAGAGAAGACTAGAATCATGATCAACTCCTGTCTCCCACTTTGTGTGTGTGTGTGAGAGAGAGAGAGAGAGAGAGAGAGAGAAGAGAGAGAGAGAGAAGACTAGAATCATGATCAACTCCTGTCTCCCACTTTGTGTGTGTGTGTGTGTGTGTGTGTGTGTGTGAGAGAGAGAGAGAGAGAGAGAAGAGAGAGAGAGGGAAGACTAGAATCATGATCAACTCCTGTCTCCCACTTTGTGTGTGTGTGTGTGTGTGTGTGTGTGTGTGTGTGAGAGAGAGAGAGAGAGAGAGAGAGAGAGAGAAGACTAGAATCATGATCAACTCCTGTCTCCCACTTTGTGTGTGTGTGTGTGAGAGAGAGCGAGAGAGAGAGAAGAGAGAGAGAGAGAGAGAGAGAGAAGACTAGAATCATGATCAACTCCTGTCTCCCACTTTGTGTGTGTGTGTGTGTGTGTGAGAGAGAGAGAGAGAGAGAGAGCGAGAGAGAGAGCGAGAGAGAGAGAAGAGAGAGAGAGAAAAGATTAGAATCATGATCAACTCCCGTCTCCCACTTTGTGTGTGTGTGTGTGTGTGTGTGAGAGAGAGAGAGAGAGAAGACTAGAATCATGATCAACTCCTGTCTCCCACTTTGTGTGTGTGTGTGTGAGAGAGAGAGAGAGCGAGAGAGAGAGAAGAGAGAGAAGACTAGAATCATGATCAACTCCTGTCTCCCACTTTGTGTGTGTGTGTGTGTGTGTGTGTGTGAGAGAGAGAGAGAGAGAGAGAGAGAGAGAGAAAAGATTAGAATCATGATCAACTACTGTCTCCCACTTTGTGTGTGGGGGGCATTGATTTCTTTTTATTCTTCATTTAAATATCTTTTATTTCCCTAAGGTGATAACTATTTGGGGTGTTTTCTAGAGCTCTGCTTGAACACTCTGAGTCTCTGACTGGGTGGGGAGGGGTGAGAGTGGAGTGTAAAAAGAATGAGGGGGGGCAGCCAGCTGGTGGGTGTGTACCTTGGTTCTAGCAGGGAGGGTCCCATTCCATCCTGTCCTGTCTGAGGTCTGTTTGCCTGAGCTAGAGGAGTGTAAACGTGAGGAGGCCACTGAATGACAGGCTGTTTACTAGATCCACTGAAATATTTCTACCACCCTGATTCCACTCTAGGCTCCAAGATTTCAAATACCCCGACAGCTCCTCTGGGCTCTAGAGAAGCCAGGCTAAGGCACCAATATGCTGGCTCCACCATCTCAAAAAGCCTGGGGGTCAGTGTCCCATAAAAGCACACATCTTGGAGGCAGAGGCAGGAGACTCTCTGAGTTCAGGGCCAGCCTGGTCTACAGAGTGAGTTCCATGATGACAGAAACCTTGTCTCTAATAACAGAAAACAAAAGCACCAATCTAGCGGAGCCAGGGTCGCTCCAGGCTTGTAGGAGCCTTGAGGGGTAACAGCTTAAGAAACCAGACTTACTGCCACCAAGAAACTAAGGAAACCAGAGACTGCCGTGAACCGGCTAGAAGGGCCTTCCAATCGGAAGCCAGAGAGGGGTGATGACCTTTCGAACACGAAGTTCACCCTATTCCGCCCGGGAGTCTAGCTTTCCACAACTCAACAGTCCCAGGTTTTTTGTGCAGCCTTCCCTCCCAGGTTCACACGCCCACCCAGAGTCTTAATTCCCCGCCCAGTGAATCTTGTTCCAGGGACACGCCCCTCTAGTGTGCCCCGCCCAAAGCCCTGGTACGAGCCTCTCAACCCGCACGCACTCCAGCTGGCCACCCCAAGGTCTCCCCTCCCCCGGACATGCTCTCTCACTCACATCCCTGCTTCTCCTTTTCGTCTCTGTCCCCCCACCCCCGCTCACTTTGCCTCCGCTCTCTCAGTCCTCTACCTTGAGTTACCAGAGCCCCTCTCTCCCCTAACACTACTCTCCGATCCTCACCCCTGATGCCCCCCTTCCCCTGGCATTTGGCTCTGCCGCCCAGCTCCTTTCAGCCAGTCTCTTGCTCTCCTTGCCCCCAGAATTACTTCCACCCACGCCCCGTGAGACTCTCCCAAACTTCTCCAAGAGGATCCCCACACCCAGCTTTCCCTTCCACTAGTCTACCCACCCCGCGCCCTTTAAGGCTCGCATACCACCCTCACCCTGTTCCACCTCCTTCCAGTTCTACCCTACCCCGGCCCTCCCATCTCCTGGAGGTCTCCCGGGCTGTCACCCCTACCCTCTCCTCATTCCTCTTACCACCCCTCCCCTGGATTGCCTTCCTCATTTTCTCCCTGTCCCAGGCACTCCCCACGCCCCACCCCCGCTCTTCATCTCCCGCGCCCCTTATCCCCGAAGCTACCCGGTCTTTCCCCATCCTCCCATTCTCCTCCTGAGCATCCCCCCCATCAGCCTCTACCTCCTCCAGCCTCCAAGATCACCCTTGCCCTCCAACGCTCCCATCCCCGAGACCCCCTCGACTCCTCCCGCTCATCTATCCCTCAGGGCCCCCCTTACCCTGTGGCTCCCCCCCATTCCTCCATCGCACATCCCTCCCCAGTCCTCCAGGAATCCCCCTCCCTGCTCCCCCGCCCTGTCCCGCCCGCCTCACTCCCGCCCCAGTCCGGCCCGGCTCTCCGGCTGCGCGCTCCAGGCTGGGTGCGAGCCATGGGCAGCGGTAGCAGCCGGAGCAGCCGGATCCCGAGGCGGCGGCGCAGCCCTGACAGGCGCCAGGCGGACCCGGGAGAGGCAACCTCGGAGGGCGGTACAGCTGACCAGGCCCTGAAGGCCGTGAGGCAGGAGGAGACCGGCCCCGATCCCCGCCCCACGACGCCCCCCGGCGGCCGGGAGGAGACCTTGCGCCTGTTGGACCAGTTGCTGGCCGAGTCCGAGACCTGGGGGACCCAGGAGCCGACCCCACGAGGCCCCGCCCGGCTTTCACCCGCGGTGAGTGTGGGCGCCTGTCTCTCCAGACGCATCCTTTCTGTAGCCCCAGTGTCCTCCCACCCAGGCCTCTCCCCACTCTGCGCCCCTGTCTCCAGCAAACCAACCCAGTGTCACCCCCCCCCCCCCGTTTTGTCCTAGGGCGCTGTGACCCTTCCTTACTCCCACCCCTGCATATTCTCACTCTGCCTTCTTGGTGGGTGCCCGCCACTATCTCTATTTTGGGGTGACTCTCAGAGGCAGCCTTAAAGGACCAAGTACAAACAGCAGTTGGCAGAAACACCTAGAACTTCCTTCTGGTCCAGGGCTTGCCTTCCTTTCCCAGCAGGGCTGCATGCAGTCTGCAGCATCCTTGCAGCTCAGGTGGGAACTGACCAGCAAGGGCCTCCGCCTTGGCCATTAGGAGACACACTGAGGAGGCAGTAAGTGGGTGGATCACCTGCCAAACAGTGGTTCGAAAACGCCCTGCCGCGTCGGACGCGTCCGGATCTTTGGCTTGCAATTCCCGCATTGCAAGCTATTTTTAAGATGCGGCTTCCTCATCTTCTCTTGCTGAACACTTGTAATAACACCCCCGCTGTTCTAGAAAAACAATGGAAAACCAGCGCTCTGGTTTGGCACGCCTTTGGTGCTGCAGAGCTAAAATTCAGAACCGTCTTAGCGGCTCCTGGCTGGAAGAGGAGGCTAGAGGCAGTCGTACCCGGAGGCTTCACTGCGGGCCGCCGAGACAGAGGGAATGTCTTCTTGGACCCGGATACCGGGCAAGCATCAGGGAAAGGCCACTGGAATGGTGGGAAGACAGCTCAATCCCTGCACCCGCAACAGGGCTCTGTCCCACATCCCTCCTCCCCCACTGCCCTGTGGTGGTTTCCGACAGGACAAGTCAGCCGTAGTGAGAACTGAATTATATAACGGAATTCCTCTAAGACTACATCAGCCTGCAGTTATGTAAGACCAACAAAGAGCAAACAGTTGGGGAGATTTGGACATAGCAAGGAAACAAACTTTCGGTGTTATTTTCAAGTGCTTAGGGAACTTCAAAGGTGTGGAAATGAATGAACTTTCCCTCTCTCTTGCTGAGTGTTCGCTGGAAGAGCATCCTAGAGACAGGATCTCCTGGACTCTGTTACAGTAAGCGGGGCTTGCTTTAGGTATCAGGGGCAAAGACAGGTGCCCAGAGCGCTGGCCTGGGATCCAGGGAGACAGAAAGATCCAAAGATCAAGTACACGATGCAGTGGAGAGAAGTCAGTCTGAGGAGTCCACAGGAAGGAGGGACAGGCATGCTCTAAGGGTGGAAAGGCTTGAGTCTGAGGTGGTCACAGGACAAGAGCAGAGCACAAGGCGGGGAGGGACCCTAGGTACACTGATGGCGGTGGCATGTTAGCGCTGGTGCAGCTGTGGCGGTGGCATGTTAGCGCTGGTGCAGCTGTGGCGGTGGCATATTAGCGCGGGTGTAGCTGTGGTGGTGGCATGTTAGCTCTGGTGCAGCTGTGGTGGTGGCATGTTAGCGCTGGTGTAGCTGTGGCGGTGGCATGTTAGCGTGGGTGCAGCTGTGACGGTGGCATGTTAGCACTGGTGCAGCTGTGACGGTGGCATGTTAATGCTGGTGTAGCTATGGCGGTGGCATGTTAGCGCTGGTGCAGCTGTGACGGTGGCATGTTAATGCTGGTGTAGCTGTGGCGGTGGCATGTTAGCGCGGGCACAGCTGTGGCGGTGGCATGTTAGCGCGGGCGCAGCTGTGGCGGTGGCATGTTAGCGCGGGTGCAGCTGTGCCGGTGGCATGTTAGCGCTGGTGTAGCTGTGCCGGTGGCATGTTAATGCTGGTGTAGCTGTGGCGGTGGCATGTTAGCGTGGGTGCAGCTGTGCCGGTGGCATGTTAATGCTGGTGTAGCTGTGGCGGTGGCATGCTAATGCTGGTGTAGCTGTGGCGGTGGCATGTTAGCGTGGGTGCAGCTGTGCCGGTGGCATGTTAATGCTGGTGTAGCTGTGGCGGTGGCATGTTAGCGCTGGTGTAGCTGCAGAGGTCTTTAGCCACATCAGGGGGTGTAGACTCTACTGAGAAGCATTTGAAGTCTGAAGGGAGTACAGTTTTTGTGACTCAAGAGCAGAAGGGTGAATCAGACAGAAGAACGCGTGGGGCACCACGATCCACCAGGGTGACTCTGGCTGTCCAACTGACCGGGTCCTGGACCCAAGCAGTAGCCGAGAAAGAGGTATGAGGAGGTAGGTTCAAGAAATAAAGTTTGTGCCAGAGCTGGCGGCGTACACCTTTACTCCCAGCCTTGGGAAGCAGAGGCAGGTGGATCTCTGTGAGCTTGAGGCCAGCTGGGACTACAGAGCAAGTTCTAAGACAACTAGGGCTACACAAAAAGACCTGCGACATCAGAGCAGTGGTCACCCTTTGGGAGGGGAGGGGGCAGGCCTCAGCTGTGTCCCCTGGACCATGAATGTTTCTCAAACTAATGACTGAATCCCAGAGCTCCAAGAGAGACAAAGTCGGGAAGTGAGGCCCCTGCTTCTAAAAAGCGCAGCACACGCTAGAGCTTGGAACCCAGGCTCCTGTGCTGTGCGGCTTGCTCACATCTGCCTGCATCTGCCCGTATCTGTAACTGATTCCCTCAGGAGCTGCACACCTTACAGGATTCTGGATTGGTGACTCCCCGTGGAGACAGAAAAGAATAGCAAGTTCAAGAACCATCCATAGAAGGTGGCCTTCCTTCATAACGTTGAGACAGTGTCCCCCCCAAGCAAAATGACAGACCTTATAAGGGCCTTCATTTAAACGCTGCAGCCAGTGCGCTGAGGTTGGAGCGCAGCAGTAAAGAGTTGGCCTAGCATGCATAAGCCCTTCAGTCTGATCCTTCACTCCACCAGAAAGCAATGAAAACAAAAAAATTGCAATCACTGTTGACTGGAGCACTTTCAAGACTGATTATGCATTATCCCTGAATTATCATCCTGAATATCATGTTATTCTGGACTTTATTTTTTTTTATAAAAAAATATCTTTATAAAAAAAATAGTTCTAGAGGGCTGGAGGGATGACTCAGTCGTTCTGAGTTTTTCTTGCTATTGCAGAGGACCTGAGTCCCACCACCTACATCAGGCTCCCTCCAGGGGTTCTGGTGCCCCCTTTTGGTCTCTGAGGGTACTGTACTTCTGTTCAAATCCACACAGACACAGGTACAAATAATTAAAAAATAAAAATTAAAACAAACGATACAGTTTTAGCTAATATTTTAATGAGTACTCAAGTCTCAGTCTTGCACTTATTCTCTCCATGCTCACCCATATTTTTAATATTTTTATTTTTTAATGACACAATAATTGTACTTATTTATGGAGTACGAGATCAAAGAAGTGCTGGGATTACAGGCATGTACCACCGTGTTTATCTGTTTAGGCAATTTTTTGAGGCTGGATTTATTTGTTTTAGTTTTGTCAAATTGAGGGTTATAAGAAAAAGATTAAAAGTAAGGATAATCTTACTATCTTATTTTATTTATGTGTCTTTGTGTCTGTTTTGAATTGTCCCACTTAAACCATCTCCTAGACAGATTTTTCCCCTGCTTGTATCCTTACATATTTTAAGGGACATGAGATAGCCTACCAAATTCCTGCCCTGTAAGTCACGGACCCAACCCCCTCTCTCTTGTTACCGTTTTTGAATTAATTTTTAATTTCATGGCCACATGAAGTGCCCGAGGCAGAAGTCCTTTCCCAGAGTCAGTAGCTCTCAAATATCGTGTTAGTTGGGGATCTGAAACGTCAACCTCTGCGGAATGGGAAGGCTGAGCAAACCTGTGAAATCTGAATAGGTGGTTTTACAGTCGTTTAGTATTTGGAAGAGCACAGTATCACCCCGTTAATCAGTGGTCTCTTCCTGGGCAAAATGAGCCATCTGATATGGATTTATCCACGGTGGGGGGGGGCAGGGAACGGCAGTGTCCTCCCACCTCTTCAAATGTTTGCCCCCGTGGGGGAGGGTCACAGATAGGGCTCTGCTAGGTCATGGAGTTACTGCACCGCCTCAGCCCCAGAGTACGCAACACTGGCAGCATCTGAAGGTGCTTACAGAGAAGAATTTGGTTCCGTACCGAAACCATCTGTTCAGTGCTTTCAGTACTAGAGTAGTAACCCAGTGCTCTCCCCCACTTCCTGCTGCCCTGCCCCCAGTCAGGTGGTCTAGGAAGTCGTAAAGAGCATTGCTGTCACCAAGAGATAGATAGTATCATTTTTCACAAGCCTGTGTAGAACAGCGATACCTTGTTTTGGAGCTGAGTGACACCTTGCTCCCTGTGTTTACACAGTTTCTGATTTACTGTAGCCCAGGAGGACTGGGGGAGTCTTGTCTGTTGCCACCAACCAAGCCTTTAGGGTGATCATGACTTGCACTGCTGTGGAGTGTGAAGTGAATAAGCAATAGAAAGGAGCTCACAGCTGCGGAGTGGACTCTCCAGAAGGACACAGAGATGCTGGATTCACAGTCAAAGCAAAACAGCTCCTAGAAGAACCAGTGTGTCTGCAGTCAAGGCTAGAGCAAAGATCACGCCTGTAAATAGTGCGAAGAGTGAAGCATAGGGTTGACTCACACAGTGCTGGGAAGGCCACGGAGAGAGTCCACGCTGCAGCAAAGAGGAGTCCACGCTGCAGCAAGGAAGAGCCCACACTGCAACGAGGAGGGGAGTCCACACTGCAGCAAGGAGGGAGTCCACGCTGCAACGAGGAGAAAGTCCATGCTGCAACAAGGAGGGAGTCCACGCTGCAACAAGAAGGCTGAGGAAGGAATGCCCCATGGGAAAGACAGCACCAAGGAGCAGAGTGCCGTCAAGGAGTGGAGAAACCTTAGCCAGAAGAAGTCTCCACAGTCATCAGATGGCCAGGGGAGCACCCCAGGAGCCCAGCCCTGGATAAAAGGATGGGACATTCCACCAGGAAACCCCAGAAGTGGAAACCACTTCCATTTTCTTTCAGAGCCAGGCTGTGATGCTGCTTCCCTGTAAGCACAACACTTGGGAGGTAGAGGCAGACAGATGTCCGTAAGTTGGAGGCCAGCCTGGTCTACCTGGGGAGTTCCAGGCCAGTCAGGGCTACATAGCGGTAGACTCTGTCTCAAAAGAGTAGATTCTGAATAGAAAGAATTTTAAAATGGAAAGAAAATAGGCAAATCCTTCGTCCAGATCTTAGGGGCAGGGTCCTGGCAGATCGTAGCCACAGTAAGATTCCAGAAGTGCCCTTCCTAGGGAGGGGGAGGCACAGACGGCCTTGGTCCCTCCACACTGGTCCCAGTCCTGTTAGGGTCAGAATGGGTTCTCATGGCCTCGCTTGCTATTGAGATCTGGCGGTAGTCGTGGAGGCCTGGGGCTTTCAGGGAAGCCACAAGGGAACACATCCTATGAGGCCGCTAACCACCGTGCTGGAAGACCAGTGCCCTCTGGTGGTGAAGAGAGGACACTGACTGGCAAAATCTTGAAAACTGCCTGCTGGTTGGTGGATTAGGTACTGGAGGTCCCTTAATGCTTTTCTGTCTATCATGTGTATGTGTCCTAGGTAAAACCAACAGCCCCCTCCCAACCAAACAAACCCATCACCACCAGGCTGGTAAAGTGTATTTTACCTCAGGTAAAGTGGTTTATTTTCTGGGTATTTTGTTTTCTTTGGTATTTGAGACAGGGTCTTATGTAGCTCAGGCTGGCCCTAAACTCCCTTTGTAGTTGAAAATGGCTTTGAACTCCTGATCCCCCTGCCGTAGCTTCCTGAGAGCTGGGATTACCAGTGTGCAACACTCATCCATCCCAGCTGGACTTTAAAAAGAGTATTTATTTAGTTGTAAGTGTCTGGGTGTGTTTCTACATGCAGGGGCCTGTGGAGTCCAGAAGGCAGTACTGGACCCTCTGAGGCTGGAGTTACAGACCGTTCTGAGCCAACCCGGAGATGCTGTAATCAGACCCAGGCACGCCGGAGGAGCGGCACGCACTCTTATTCTTATTCAGCACTGTATTAAGGCTGTCTAAAGTGCAGACTTATAGAATGGATCTCCTTTTCTCTATATAAAGAAAAGGGATTTGTCAGAGCCACTCACAGGCTATGGTCCAACTAACCCAACAATGGCGGACTGTGAACGGAAAGTCCAAGAATCTAGAAGTTGATCAGTCCACGAGACTGGATGTCTCAGCTGGTCTTCAGACCACTGACATCCTGAAAAAGTAGGTGGTAAGGCCATTGCAGGAGTGAACTCGCTAGCTAGGCTAGAGCAAGCAAGCAAAGAGCAAAAGCTTCCTTTTTCTTCCAAGCCCTTATATAGGCTTCCAGCAGAAGGTGTGGCCCAGATTAAAGGTGTGTCTTCCCACCTCAAAGATCCAGACTAGAAGTAGATTAACGTAACTGGAGGTTTCTCTCCTGCCCGTCAGTTCCTGAAAAACCACTCTGAGGCTTAATATTAATTACAGACTACTTAGTCTAATAATAAGCTCAGGCTTATTAATTAGCTCTTACAACTTAAAACAACCCATTTCTATTATTCTACATTTTACCACAAGGCTTGTGGCTTGTTACCTCACACCTCGCCTTCTCTGGCAGCTGCTGGCATCTCCCAGATTCCACCTTCTATTTTCCCGTATCTTTTTGCTTTGATTTCCTATTTGACTTTATTCAGCCTGGCTATTGGCCAAATCAGTTTCTTTATGGTATCCAATTTTTAAAATTTTATTTATTTATTTATTTGGTTTTTCGAGACAGGGTTTCTCTGTAGTTTTGGAGCCTGTCCTGGAACTAGCTCTTGTAGACCAAGCTGCCCTTGAACTCACAGAGATCCGCTTGCCTCTGCCTTCCAAGTGCTGGGATTAAAGGCGTGCGCCACCACCACTCAGCATGGTAACCAATGCTAATAAAACATATTCACAGCATCCAGAAGGGCATCCCACATTAGATTTACTCATTTCAAACCAAGCAAAAAAAATCTCTCCCAGGTGTGCCCTCCATTTCTGGATTGTAGTTCATTCCAGATGTAGTCGGGTTGACAACCAAGAATAGCCATCACAACGAATAAGCTATCTCTCTACCAACTCCTATCTAGCTTAAAACCAAACCAAACCAAAACAAACCCTTCAAATATCTTTCTGTGGGGGCTGGCAAGATGGGTCAGTGGGTTAAGTGTCTGCTGTGCAAACATGTGGACACGATTCAGATACCCAACACTCACAATAAACCAGGTATGGCAGTGTGCACCTATAACCACAGTGCTCTGGGGATTGAGAAAGGGGTCCCTGGAGCTCACCGGCCAGCCAGTTTAGCCAATCTTTGAGCTCTGGGCTTAAAAAAACAAACAAACAAACAAAAAATCAAAAACAAAATAGAAAAGTAGTATTATAGAGGAATACATTCTACTTCAGCCTGCCTTGCACATGGATGTGCACACATATCACATTTGCATGCACACACACCTCTACCTGCACACTCACACACATATGCACACATGTACACACATGCACATATGCACACACAAGCACACATGCACACACGCATGTGCGCACACACACTTTTCCCTAGGATAGCTGTTAAATTGAATGTCTGAAAAAAAATTTGTTTTAGAGCTGGAGAGATGGCTCAGAGGTTAAGAGCACTGGCTGCTGTTCCAGAGGTCCTAAGTTCAATTCCCAGCAACTACGTGGTGGCTCACAACTATCTGTAATGAGATTTGGTGCCCTCTTCTGGCCTGCAAGTATACATGCAAGCAGAACACTATATGTAATAAATAAATATATCTTAACAAAAAAATTATTTTATTCTGATGGATTCTAGAATTAGAATTACAAATTCAAAATGGCTCTTGCAGATCTTTGGAGCATCTGACTGTGGTCTGCAAGTGGCCACCGAGCAGCCTACCGCCGTCTATCTCATCCGTCCGTTCTTGACTTTGGTGACCAGTCTTCACCTGAGCTCTTATCCTAGAAGTTTTTACAGTTTCCCCCCTAATCTGTGTAAAATTATCCCTTCAAACTGCTATAACAGACGCTTTAGGCTAGGCCACTTATATGCAACATAACTATTGTTCACAGTTCTTTTTAAAAATAGCAATTGTTTTCATTGTTTAAATAAACATACACATGTATATTTTGAGACAAGTTCTCACTCTGAAGCCTAGGCTGTCTTTAAACTTACAGCAATCCTCCTGCCTCAGCTTCCCAAATGCTGGAATTTTAAGTGTGTGTCCAGGTTAAACATGAATACTTAATGCATACTTAAAGTTGGGAGGGCTAAAGCTCTTGAGACTGGACATGATCTCTAGAGGGAGAAGAAGGTGGTCTCATGCTACACAGCATTGGGCACTGGTGTCTGGAGGTGAGGGAAGGAATGACCTCGCAAGAGCAAGTAGCTGGGAGGCAGGAGATCTGACCTCAGCCCTGCTGGTTCCTCTGCTTACTCATTTATAAGTCCCTCCCACAGCCTCAGTTTTCATGACTGTAAAATGGGTAACTGGGGCTCCAGAGTCACAGAGAACCTTCCCCGTTCTGATATTTACAGACCTGAGTTAAGCCTGGCAGTTGCTGTTTTACCCACAAAGCTAGCGCGTTAATCAACTATACTGTGGGCACGTTTTCATGCTGCTTCCTCTCCTCCCACTCAAGGTGTCCCCAGAAAAGAAGACGAAGGACGACCCTGAAGAGAGCTGTACCCCTGAGTAAGTATGGGGAGGGGCTATGATCCTCCGCAAGCCCACAGTGCACCAGTTCCAGTCGCCTCAAAGCTCTCCCGTCCCCACTGTCCCCACTGTCCCCACCGTCCTGCAGGTCAGTGAGGCTCAGGTAGAGCTGGGCTGTCAAGGGGAGCCTAGGGAGGTCGTAGCCCAGTCACTCACAGCAGCGTGAGTTTCCTCCTGTATGGGGTCATGACCTGGCTTCTCTGTGGCCATTCTATTCTGAACCCTTCGGATCCATTCAGATGTACTTGCGTGTCCCACCTGCTCTCCTAGTGGTTTTATCTGTAAAGAGTGCTCTTTGCTGTAAGGAATTCAGAGCCTAGATAGTGACAGTAACCACCAGCAGCTCCAAAAAAGTCATTAGGAGGAAAATGCACGTGAAACTCCTGTAAATTTCATGCTTGGTGCTGCCAGGCTGGTGGCTCGAGACAGGGTTTCCCTGTAGCTTTGGAGCCTGTCCTGGAACTAGCTCTTGTAGACCAGGCTGGCCTCGAACTCACAGAGAGATCCACTTGCCTCTGCCTCCCGAGTGCTGGGATTAAAGGCGTGCGCCACCACTGCCCCGGCTCAGTGGCTCAGTCTCTCAGTATTGGAGAGGCAGAGGGACGAGTTCCAGGCTAGCCAGAGCTACACAGTGAGTCCGTGTCCCAAACAAACAAACAATTCACCCCAAAGCCTACAAGTAGTGGCCCAGAGCCTTTAATCCTCCTGAGGGGCTGGGAATACAGGCCAGGGGGAGAGCGTTTGCCTGGCATGTGCACAGAACGACTGCCCAGTACCGAGATAAAATGGGCAAGGCGGTCAGATGACCCAGCAGACAAAGGCGCTCGACTACCTGAGTTAAATCTCCCGAATCTGCATGATAGGCGAAGAGAACCCAGCACCTGTAAGTGTTCTTCAAACTCTATTGTGCACCATAGCACAGTGCCTATACATATATTGACACACCCACACAAGTAAGTACACATGAACAAACACACACAAAGGAATGTCTGTGCTTCTAGTACTCTGGAGCACAGGGACCATTGGTCCATGTCCCTCCTGCCTCTTCCTCTCTGGGGTCCCACCTGCAGGGATATCAGCATGCCTGGTGGGAGCAGACAGAGCGTGGGGGAGGCTACGGCCAGTCTCCAGTGACCTTGGGTACCATCTGCCCTTAAAGGTTTCAGCTTTCACATCTATTCGTGCCAGGGGCTGGCAGGGGTAACCCTAGAGGGGCTTGTTCCTGTCAGGGGATTCCAGAATGCTCTGGCATTCTGGAAGGACAGCCAGCTTCCTGCCCAGCTCCCTGGCTTGTTCTAAGGCTATGCTGAACCATTATTTGCATTCCTTCCCCCTACCAGCAGTCAGTAGAGACTCCCCAGGACTGGGCTGGGAGGGCAGCCGCTACCGCTATTCTAAGCTTGGAGGTTGCAAACAGCAAACAGCTCTCATGCACACTGTTGCAGGCTTGCAAGGCTGCAACTCTCCACACACTTGCTACTGTTCAGTCCCTCCTAAGCGCTCATCTCTGTTCTAGACACACGCAGCACTTCAGCCAACCTCAGGCAGTCTGGAGGTGGCAGCCCTTCCTCTCACTGACGGAGCCTGGGGGAAGGGACAAATGGTCCAGGGCCATACAGTTACTGTGCATCAAAGCCAGCTGAGATCTGTCCTCCTCCAAAGCCCTTGGATATTCCCCTTTGCCCCACAGACACAGTAGGAAAGACAGGGCTTTGGCGGCAGGCTGATCTCAGGATATCAAGCTGCGGTACCCAGGCCTCTCATCCATGTTTTGGGAGACGTATACAGAGCCCTGGACTCTGTTCTCGGAAGGTCAGCCAGGAGCATCGGATGGAGCTTGGCATCTACCTTGGCCTGCCTCATCCTCATTGCAGGTCTTGGTGGATAAAATGGGAGGACGAAGGCAGATATGAGCGACGATGACCATGTCTGTGTGTTGGGTAGGAAGAGATTTGGGTGTCTCCAGATCAAAGGTTTTGGTTTGGATGTTAGGATGAACCACTGAAACACCACTGTGGCTGCCCGAGGAAATGCGAGTTTGAAGGTGATACCCACCCTTGTCTGTGTTTCTCACCCACAGAGCCCCAAGCAGCAGCCACAAGAGACCCGAGGGGCAGTCGGCCATCTCCTACGATTACTCCGAGGAGGAGCTGATGGCGAGCATCGAGCGGGAGTACTGCCGCTGAGCTGGCTGAGCAGTCTTGGTTACCACTGGCCAGGCTTCGCAGGCCTGTGAGCTGGGCTCCTGTTAGGAGGGTACCACCTTTTGCTCCACCTGTGACCTGTGAGCTGGGCTCCCGTCAAAGGGTACCACCTTGCTCCACCCAGGCCTGTGAGCTGGGCTCCCGTTAGAGGGTACCACCCTGCTCCACCCGTGGCCTGTGAGCTGGGCTCCCGTCAGAGGGTACCACCTTGCTCCACCCAGGCCTGTGAGCTGGGCTCCCGTTAGAGGGTACCACCCTGCTCCACCCGTGGCCTGTGAGCTGGGCTCCCGATAGAGGGTACCACCCTGCTCCACCCGTGGCCTGTGAGCTGGGCTCCCGATAGAGGGTACCACCCTGCTCCACCCGTGGCCTGTGAGCTGGGCTCCCGTTAGAGGGTACCACCTTGCTCCACCCAGGCCTGTGAGCTGGGCTCCCGTTAGAGGGTACCACCCTGCTCCACCCGTGGCCTGTGAGCTGGGCTCCCGTTAGAGGGTACCACCCTGCTCCACCCGTGGCCTGTGAGCTGGGCTCCCGATAGAGGGTACCACCCTGCTCCACCCGTGGCCCAGCCAGAGCGAAACCACTTCTAGAATACAGCTCTCTTTTCACGCTGGTCTCTAAAGATTCGTGATCAGAGTTCTGCCGCTGGCCTGGCAGACCAAAACTAAGGGTAAGCAGGCCCTGGGCCACAGGTGTGGGGGCACTGGTGCCTCCTCCCACACAGGGGGAGCCTGGCTGTGTGGTTCCCCTGAAATCTGAATTGTTGGTCCTTTCTGCTTACTCACTTTCCAAGTGGGGAAGGGTCGGTGCTGGCATCCCTTTATGACATGAGCTTGTGGTGGGAAGCAGAGCTCATCGATGCCCTCTCTTGGCCTCAGTTTCTCTCTGGGGGAGGGGGAGGTGGTAATCCTGGAGGTTCTTTGAGACCTTTCAAGCCGTTAGTCTGGTAGCTCTACCGTCCAGCCTGTAATCTCCCAGTTGCCAGTGTGCTTTGGCTGAGTGCAGAACCATATAGGAGCCGAGAGAGGGAACCCACACTGAGATAGGGCTTCACAGCAACTGCTCTCCCTGGCTGGCAGCAACTGCTCTCTTTTGGCTGGCAGTCTGCCTGGGGGCTGTGAACCTCTTCTCCTCCTCCCTGCTTGGGTGGGAGGCAGTCAGGATAATGATGCCAGAAGAGGTTTCAGACATCCCCAGTGGACAGGTGGGGGAATGCAGAGAGCCTATGGGAAGGAGGGTAGGGCTTGTGTGGGCCCTGTAGGGCCTGGCGCTTGCTCAGGTGTCTGAGGAAGCACCCGCACAGCTGGCGAGGGTGCTGGCAGAAAGGCTTCAGAGATCTGTGAGTGGCGGCACATGCTTACAGGTCACAGCCACCAAGCCAATGCTAGAGGATTCCTGAGAATGGAAGGCTACGTAGTAAATTCAAGACTGGCCTGGACTATGTCGTGAGATTCTGTGCCAGAAAACAGAGTAGAGAACGTTGGAATAGTAGTAGCTCTGGCCAAGGCCAGGCCAGATCTCAGCTTCTGCTGCATCCCCCTACCAAGACAGTGCTCTGCCCCAGTATCCTTCCTCTGCTGAGAGCTGCTGCTGGCCCGCGATCCGATTGCTGGCCTGCGAACCTCAGAGCTCAACATGGAGCATCTCAGGAACCAAGGAAGAATGGTCCCTAGGGCCGTCCCCACATCCACAGTCCTTTGCTGTCACCTGAAAATTATTCCATGAACTTTATGACTTGACAAGAGTGCCTTTGAGTTTGCAGCTGGGAGACTTGTGCTATAGTCAGAGCCCAGAGCCATCGGGTGTCTACCAGTGGGCTGAGCATTGGGTTAAAACCTCCCAGAGCTTCTCACTGAAGCTCAAAGCACTGCTTTTGATACGAAGATGGAAGTTGTTTCTATTTTACTATTTTACCCTAAATATTACAAATGCTTATTTTAAAAGAGGTTAAAATATTACATTTTTACCAAAGAATGAATCAGACTTTGAAGTTGATGTGAATATTAACAGCTTTATGTATCATGTTTGAGTGGGCACGTTCATCTGATTAAGAGAAAATGGGGGCCGGGTGGTGGTGGCGCACACCTTTAATCCTAGTGCTCGGGAGGTAGAGGCAGGCAGATCTCTCTGAGTTTGAGACCAGCCTCGTCTACAGAGGGAGTTCCAGGGCAGCCAGGACTGCACAGAAAAACAAATAAATGAACAAACAAACCTCCCTCAACTCCAAGGATGTTCTGAACAGTGGCTAGCCAGAGCAAAGTGTGTGCCAACTGGCGAGCTGTGGTCCTGGGAAACTCAGGCTCTGGAGAGGCTGGTCCTGCCAGAAGTGGGCTTGGGTATCACTGGAGCAGGAGTACTTCCTGCACTGTCCAAGTGTCGGGTACCCTCCAATGTCCCATATTGCATTGTTGCTTCACAGTTAGCTACCTACGTTGTTTCCCCAGCTACATGCCCAGCTCTAGAGTGTGGGATCTGCCTACGCACAGCATGAGCTGACCCTGGCTCCCATCACAGAAAGTCTAACCACAGATGGTCACCAGCTCTGCAGGGGTTCTCCCCCAAGATGTGCCAAGGCTGTGCTTGAGAAAACCCGAGCCCTTCAGAAATCCGGGTAGATTTTTCTGTACATATGGGCAGAACCTTGAGAAGCCCCCAGGCCTCGGCTCTTGTGTTCATGGGTTCTTGGCTCAGCTCAGAAGGAACCTCCCGCACCAGCAGAGATTGGCCAAAACTGCCTGGGACAAGCTTTTAGCACCCTCTTTTTTGGTGTTCCATTTCCTAGAGGCACGTTTCCTGGAATGATGTCCAGGAGTCCCACCCACTCCTGGGGACTCTGGGATTCATGAATGGATGTCACTGCCCCCATGAGAAAGCATTCTGGAGACCAGGAGTCTATCGGCAGTAGCCGGGACACCAGCTGTTGAGTGTCAGGACCATGGAGTATTTTTCTTGTCAAGAATTGTACAGAAATAAAATGTAGTATTTTTTTTTAAGGGCCAAGGTGATGGCTTGGCAGGTAAAAGCTCTTGATGCCAAGCCTGACGACGTGAGCTCCACCCCCAGAGGGGCCAGTGGAAGGGAAGAGCCGACTGCTGCAGGTTGTCCTGATGCCCACATGCATGGATGGCATGGCATAATGCACCCGCCACAGCAATACACTTCCCCTAGATGTGTATGTATATAATCTATCTATCTGTCTGTCTCTATCTATCTATTATCTATCTTTACCTATATCATCTATTATCTATATCATCTATCTGCACACACGAGGAAGGTATCCCTGCATGATTCTGAGCATTGAAGAGCAAAATTCACGATTTATTTTAAAAGTACTGTTACATTTTGTGTGCACACATGCATGTGTGTCTGTAATACATGGGTGTGCATGCCATGGTGCAGGTGTGGAAGTCAGAGGACAATCTGCAGGAGGTGTTTCTTTCTTTCCACCATATGAATTCCAGTGAGCAAACAGGTGCCCTTGCTCGGTGACAGGTGCTTTTGCCCACTGAGACTTCCTGCAAACCCACAAACCACCTATTAGACTCTGAAGGTTAGTTGCTTCCTCTAGGAAGAAGGCTCCATAATTAGAACTTTTTTGGGGGTGCTGGCCTGAATCTTGGGGAAAACTTGGCCTTGAGAGGCAGGAAAGAACTGTTTCCTACTGTAAAGAAATCCTTCTTTTGTGGGTGGTGGTGGCTCAAGCCTTTAATCCTAGCACTCAAGAGGCAGAGGCAGGCAGATCTTTGAGTTCGAAGCCAGCCTAGTCTACAGATCGAGTAGGACAGCCTAGGGTTACACAGAGTAATTCTTTCCAGTGTTGGCAAGGAAGCATTGCCCTCTCTGGGGCATGGCGCCTTGGGAAGGACAGAGAAGTTCTTGGATTTCCAGAGGTACTTGACCCGAGGTCTGCACCCCAAAGTTGTTGGTAGCCTCAGGATGGGGCCCCACAACTGCACACCCAGAAACGGAAGCAGAGTGTGTGGTTGCCTGTGGCTGACTGCCCTAGGCCAGTTCCAACTCTCAACAGTGACATCGTGTGGTCATGAGAAGCAGTAGCAACCTGGACCAGGGCTCTGCCCCTGGAAGAAGTAGGACGTCCAGCTGGGCCCTGCTGTGGATGGGCGCTTGTTGGTAACTGTGGGGATGGAAGCTTGTCTCCATTACTCTGCCTTAGGTAAAAGTGGAAGTCCAATTGCTAGTGTTATTATGTTAACTGCCACAACTTGCGCGCAAGAATTCTTACAAGTTGACCTCTTTGCCACTGTACTGCTTCCTCCGAAACAGATTAGAGCCCCCCAAGAAAGAATTCAAGTTAGGTCAATACATGACGAATCTCCTAGACTCATATGAAGACTGTGTGTATTAAGTCGCTGTACACAATTACACAACACAGCACACAAGCCACGTCTGCAAACCAAGGAAGTTTTATAGGATTCAAAGCAAAAGGTTACATCACACATACCCATTTCAATAAGTCTATTACATAAACATAAGGATTTGAAACATTTAAATTTTATTTCTAAAACTACCAAAAGGCTCAACAAGGTAAAAAAAAAAATCAAATCAAGCAGAACTGCTGAAGCAATAAAGTGCACTGGGGGTACCTCAACATGAGGGGGTCAGGGAGGGCTCTCAAGGGAGCAGGGCCCTCCTGGGGCTCTGGGGCTCAGGAGTCCTTTTCAGACAGGAAATGTTTTCCAACTCAGTCTTTCAGTAGAGAGACGGTGGGGGTTCTTCTGCAGAAGGGATTTCTACATCTAATCAGGAAATGGAACCCTATAGTGTTTCAACACATCGGTTATTTCAGAGACAACACTGGTCAGAGGACCTAAGTTCTGTGTGACGATCAACCGAACGCTCTGAGACCTTCCGTGACTCACAGAAACACGGGGACAGGACACACCACTCTGCATGTCATGGTGAAGACAATTGCACTGGATGCCATTTGTCGTTTGTGCAATCGCCAGTGTGGAGGACAGGACTGGGGTATTGGGACACTTGGGAGCTATGTACAGTTCGTTCTCCCGTGGCTACATCATGTGGAAAGACAACAGTGACAATTAACTGGAGAACTGTCCAGACATTGCCTAAACACACATACCTACAAAACTCGGAGGCTACCAAAGGCAGCCTAACAGGGATCAAGTAACAACATACAATGTATGACCACGAGAAGGTTCTATAAGGCTCAAAAGACCTGAACATAAAACCTTATTTTATCTATTTAATATTTCAACCTTGCCATCATTTAAATAAAGTTAAACGCCAATATTAAAAGGCAAATACATAATCTAATACAATACCACACAAAAATATCCTCAGGCTGCCCAAACAGTGCAATATATTGTTCTCGCTTACTGTATTGCCTGAACTTCCCAAGCTCTAACTAAAGCT